GATGTAATTTGGCAGTTATCTGATTACGTAATTTGGCAGTTATTTGATTATGTAATTTGGCAGTTAAATAGTGATCCCTCATGATGTGCTTCAGTGTGATAACTCAATCCGTTAAGATGGAATCCTGGTGTGGCCCTATAGGGTAAGCAGGAAATTCAAACCCACCAGCTGCTCCTAGGAAACCCTATACAGAGTCACAACTGACTTGACAGCATGTAACAGCAGCAAAGATGGAATGCCACACGGTGCTCCTGTCACAGCCCTGATCCCACGTATGAGGAGTTCCCCTGCCATGTGGCCTACAGCACCTTTTAGTTTAAAAAGGATCAAAGGAAATCGAAGCCAGCGTAGAGAAGGGCCTCCTACCACTAAGGAAGAAGAACCAGGAGTGGAGCCTGTCTTTTAGGCGTGGGCTTGCTGTGCTTGGAAACTCTTAGAACCAGAGGAAGATTGATTATAAGAACTTCCTGCAGAGTTATCAGAGAGAGAAAGCCTTCTAGAGTTTGTTGTTGTTGTTATGTGCCTTTAAGACAGTTTCAACTCATAGCAACCCTTTATAGGGTTTCCAATGCTGTAAACCTCATCTTTCTCCCCTGGAGCGGCTGGTTGGTTTGAACTGCCAACCTTGTGGTTTGCAGTCTGGTTTTTATCATAGAGCTACTGACCTTTGTGTACTGTAGGTGTTAAGTTATTCAGTGCTGTCAAGTTGGTTCTGACTCACAGTGACCCTGTATAGAGTTTCCAAGGAGAGGGTGGTGGGTTTGAACTGCTTACCTTGTAGTTAGCAGTCCAGTGTTTATTTTACAGCCCCACACCAGGACTCCTCCCCTAGAGTTGTTGTTAAGTGCCATCTAGTCGTTTACAACCTGTAACGACCCTGTATAAGGTGTCCAAAGAGCAGCTGGTGAGCTTGGACCACTGACTTGAAATTCAAACTGACCTTGTGGTCTGTGCTCATCCTCCAGCGCCATAGCAGGCCTCCATATTTCACATCAGGTGCTGATTTTCTTAAAGTTGTGTAGTTTTCTTCCACTTCAACCCCCAGTGCTTCAGTGAAGTCTCCACTGGTCTCTGGATCCTTGTTTGCCTTTGTTGTCCATCACACTTATTAAGGAGTCCTGGTGGCTCTGTGCGGTAGCTGTTGAGCTGCTAATCAGATGGTTGGCAGTTCAAATCCAGCAGCATCTCAGTGAGAGAAAGATGAGCCTGTCTGCCCGTGAAGGTTTGTAGTCTCAGAGAATCTGTGTAGGGTTGCTGTGTGTTGGAACTGACTTGATGACTGTCGGTTTGATTTTCTGGTTTTATCATACTTACTATTAAGTACCCCATATTCTGTCACCATACTTATGCAACCTGTATGCTGAGCAAATCATCCAAAAAGCTGGGTTATATGAAGAAAAATGTGGCATCAGGATTGGAGGAAGACTTACTAATAACCTGCGGTATGCAGATGATACAACCTTGCTTGCTGAAAGTGAAAAGGACTTAAAACATTTACTGATGAAGGTCAAAGACCACAGCCTTCAGTATGGATTACATCTCAATGTAAAGAAAACAAAACTCCTCACCACTGGACCAATAAACAACATTTTTATCAAAGGAGAAAAGATTGAAGTTGTCAAGGGCTTTGTTCTTCTTGGATCAACCATCAACACTCACAGAAGCAGCAATCAAGAAATCAAAGGACGTATTGCATTAGGCAATTTTGTGATACAAAAGTATCCTATGATGCAGTAGTTTTCTGTATACATGTCAGATCCTTTTTCCAGAGTGTTCAACACACTCTGCCCTGCTTTCAGATGTCAAACTCCATCTCCCCAGCAGGTAAAGCAAATGATATTTACATGAGATATGAATGTGAGCCTTAAAAGGACTCCATCTTTTTAAATTACCGTCTTGAGTTGCTCAGTATGCGAGAGAACCCTGGTGTTGTCTTTACACCCATTGCTCCTGTAGCTCTGAGTCTAGGAGTTCTTCTCAGTTCTGTTCATTTTTGGCTTCCACATTGTCAATTACTTAAGCCCATGTGTTTCTATTTCCTGTCTCTTCCTTTTACCACCACTTTAGTCCAGGCCTTTGTCATGGGCTATTCAAATAGTCTCCTCTGGTTTTCAGAACCTTGAATAGTGTAAAGTTCTCCCCACTTCCCAATTTCCTGACAGCTACCCAGAATGTTAAAAGGCAACCTCTGCAATTTGGATTCCTGGGCCTCTGTGATTGGTTTCTATTTAC